GCTTTTCGGTTGTGAGACGCGGTCGAGCAGACTTTGAAAATTTGCCATTTTAAGCCGAAATGTGGTGATCAAAGTGTCCACCTTGCTTATACTTAACTTGAAAAATCAGTAGTCATAACAAAATCAATATTAAAAGAGTATATTGATACATGTTATACTTAATAATACAATTCATGTGTTATACTTGAGAGAAATGTTATACAGAAATTTATTTGGCTAAAGTAAAGTGTAAGCTACAAGTGAATCAGTAGTGATCAGCAGTCTATTGCAAAGGAACGACGCGAGTGTGACAAAATATTAGCCAAATTCTCTGTGACAATGTGTGACTACAGCCATTCTGGCCTCATTCTTTATTTCATTCCTCATGCAGAGGTCAGTTAATTCACACAAAAACATTACTATAAATCAAAATAAATCATTATTAAAAGATTTACAGAAGGATTTTGTCAGAAGAAAATTATTGCTCAAGATATAGTTGATTTGGAGTGTAAAACAGTTATATTTTAGCTGGTTTCTAATAAAATCAAAATTCCTTCTGTAAAAAGTTTCTTTATCATCTTTTTAATACTATTCATATTTTTTTGTCAATTTAAAATACATGTGGGGAGCAGAAAATCTTTTCTACAAGGACAATTTTAACCTGGACACTTGTCTATCAGTTTACTGCTTAGTTTGCCGCTTAGTTTGGTAAGTTTTCAAACTCCGCAGGACCGCGCGTCAATAGGGAAAAGCGGACCCCCACTATATTCGGAAAGATGATACGTTACGTGGGCTTGCACTGCGGTACAAAGTCGACGTACGTAGATTTTCTTATTTCTTGTTCTCTTTTCCTCTACTCTTTGAATAGTTCTAGTCTATGTAATAATGTTTGTGCCTCGATACGGCTACTCTCAACCTGTCAAACACATATTCGAGAGTTATATTCTTTACTCACTTATCTTCGTCCCTTGTAGGGCCGGGTGTTGTGCAAATTGAATAATCTTCCACCAAGTACACTCAGCACAACACCACATCTCTTGCACACGCGCACCGTCCTCGTTTTACCACCTTCTGCCAAACCAGTTTTGTCCATTGTGGAGAATGGGTTAAAGCGTGAGTTACTACATTATACAATTTGTTTCTCTTGAGAAATACAGATTTACTGAGGGTGTATTCGAGACATCTAGTTAGTATCGATAAGGAGCGAGAACACGAGATCGAGCTCGAGAAGACAGCGAAGCGCCTTCAGCTGATTACGAAAGAAGAAGATTGGAGGATTGCAAGAGCATATTCCGTACTTGCTGAATCTTCGTCGAGTTCTTCCGCGAGGTTTCAAAAGGACCTACGGTCTGTTTTGAAAGAGACCGAGAAACAGCCCGAAGATGATACAGAGAACGAAAAGAAACATATGTATAGGAATGGCGAAAAGGTTCACTCCACGACAGGCACAACGACCAGTACTCTACAAGAACGAGCGTTAGACGCATACCTAGAAGATGATGCGTGGGAGACACGAGAGCGTGTTGCAGGCCGGCGGCCCCCGTCAGAAATGGCACATATGGTCGGGAAAGGAGTCTTAGGACGATTATCGGGGCAAGGAGTTGGGCGCAATAAGAGACTTTTTGGAGCCTGATCTAGACATGAAGGAGGGATGTGATGGCGATGCGAATTCGTGTATGTTCCAATGCCATTAAAGTATGATATATTTCTTATGCATAGGGAGTCATTAGGATGCATATATTTAAGTATATGGAGTGCTTAGAACAATTTTAAAACAAATGTTTACAAGTGTTTATGAGATCATAGCCTCGGAAAATACCTTAACGGAGATCTCAAGCTGAGATCAAATTCCATTCGTGCCATGCCATAACGAGTTGGATATGTATCGCAACAAATAAAAGGTCCTATAGCTGATCATCTCCACTCCAGAACTCAGCCAAAGCTCGCATGCACAAATGTTAAGGAAAGATGCACAGCCAAATTATCGTGTCGAGTCTGCTACCTCTCATATTTGTATGCGGTGAGCAACATCTTAGTACAAGAACGAACTACCGTTAATCACCAATGACCTCGGCAGAGCATTACACTATTGGTGTCCAAGCACAAGTGCAGGTCTCTACCGCATCACTATATGAAGTTGGTCTACTGCAAGAAGAAGGCCAGCGAGGAACAGTGCTCGGCAGCGAAGCAGATGGCACAACGTTCCTCATCTCTGGGACATTTGTTGCGTTAAACGCTGGCTACACTAGTATGCGTTCTTAAACCTCCGGAATTTAAGTACGTCTCGTTATTGATGCTCGCCCAGTGACCGTGGTCCAAGATGCAGTACACATATCCAAAGGCGCCGACTTCGTCGCCTCGGGCCAGACAATTACGTACGATGTTGAATGTGGATTGGATACAGGCAATGCTATCTGCACAGAACAGATGAACAACGCGATACTCACATTTACAGATGACCTGCAAGTCACCACAATCCTTGTTGGTCCCGTTACTGGAGGAGGCTCAGTCTCTCCTACAAGCAGTGTTGCATCCGCATCAGGTGCTTTACCACGTACCACTTCCACGTTTGACATAAACACCCTTTCGTCCGATGTATTGCACCCGCATGGACCGGACGCAACCACTTCAACTATCCCTGGTTCCATCCCGGGCATTCCAGGCTCTGGAGAAGCAACTGCAAGTCTCAGGATCCCTGGAATGATAACTGCTTTGGGCATTTCTATTCTTTTCACTTTACTGAGTATTCTCTGATGTTCTTCCTTGCCTACAATGTCAAAGAAATCAATTGTAATCGCCATGCCTTTCAAACTAGTAACACTGATATATTCTTTCGATCTCCTTCGGAGGCACTCGCCATCTCTGTCAATGTCACGTGCATTCTCCGCGGGATACGGAAATTGTCTTGGCGGAGATCTCATTTATTTTCGTGTTCACCATGCCATACAGAGTTGAACATACTGTATTGCAACAAATAAAAGACGCTGGGCCTGTCGGTCGGTCATCTGTGGTTTTCCCTCTCCCCTTCTACCAGTTACAGTGTTGGAGTGTATCTAACTGTTCGTTGAGAAAAGCTGCAGGGAACTTAAGAGACTCCTCTGTGATACGGGGGACCAAATGATTGCTTTAGCAGTGCTTTTTCTCGTGCTTGCGAATGGTGCGTACATGTAAAGCTGCGTCAAATAATCCCTGCTGATCGTTTATGATCCCAGTCGCTTATGCGCAGGTGTCTACGGCCGCGCTACTTGATGTTGAATTTGGATACTCGGAAGCCAACCAGAGTGGAATAGTAATTGGCACTGGCGCAGAAGGCACATCGTTTATCATCTCTGGTACACTAGGGGCGATCGACAGGCCATATACAAGTGCGTATCAACAATCTCAACGCTGCACACCGTGGACCTTTAACCGATGCCGACTGAAACGTTTCCAGTGACGGTTGTTCAAGATGCGACGCATTATTCCAAGGGCGGCGGAGTCGGTGCAACAGACGCTGCTATACCACCATACACCATACAATGCGACCTGTCAAATACTAGTGTAGCTATCTGCACCGAGCAATTTGCATTGTTGACGACCACGTTCACTGAGAGCGTTAGTATCACTAGTGTTGTCGTAAGTCCTGGGACTGGGACTGGGTTTCCGACACGCTCGACGTCACCCGTGCCTCCTCCCTCTACGGTGCATGCCTCGGGAGGTGGCCCAGACAACTCGCCTGTACCATCTTCCGGAGGAGATCTAGTTCCAGGTCTACCCCCAAACTCGGGCCCGATGAGAGCCAAAATACCCAGGTCGTCATTAATATTAGCCATCCCCGTTTTGGCAACTTTATTAATGATCTTGTAAAATGCACCTTTAGTTGTATCCAATATTAATGACTTAGAAGAAGCAAGCTTCATCAACAGGTAGTCGATGCATCATTCCAACTAAATTTAAAGCAACGACAAAAGGTCCTACGGAATATAAAGTCGACGCATCACACCAATGAATATGTCTGCACCTAATATTAATCCGGTATGAGCGGCTAAACGATGGCAAGAACTTGTATGGGGTTTAGATCAATTTGCATGCAGTCGAGAACTACTCTCTCATCTAATCTGTACCGCACGTTCGCACATGCTTCATGTATTGCAAAGAGAGAACTAAAATCAAGGGGGACAAGTCGGAATGCTTGCCATTGAATGCCTACTTACGCACTCTTGAACCATCTCACGCCATTCCTGCAGACTGTAATTCTGCACAATGCAAATTTACTCTTACATGGAGGTGAGCAAGTAGCTTCACAACTTTGTTGTGTTCGATGACAAGCTGGTTGCGGAGATCTATGGCTGAGATCAAGTGTAGTCTTGGCAGAACATAACAGGGCAAGCGTTAATGGATAAAAGGCCCGTCCCGTCAGACGCGTTGCTCCGCAGAGGCATGTGTGCATACAACAAACAAGTCCAGTCGAGATCGTCGCCGTCTCTGTTTCTCAGCCTCTGTGACAAAGAAGCAACTTAGTGCGAAACTGCAGATATAACAAACATGACCTTGCTGGTGTTGCTTGCCTTTGCAGTTGCTAATGGTAAGCTTGATTCAGCCTGAAAGAAGAATTACAGTTTCACTCAATTCAAATGCCCTTCCAGTGTCCCGAGCACAGTTGTCTACCGCTTCATTGGTTGATGTCGGATTTCTTATTGAACCTCCTGACCAGCAGGGTCAGGTAGTTGGAACGGGCGCAGATGGTACGACATTCATCGTTTCTGGGACATTCGGTGAGATTGAAGTTGGTTACACCAGTGCGTCTTCTTTATTCCCTCCTCCAACACCCGTTACTGATGCTCCTACCATTACATTTATTTATAATGTTTCAGTGACCGTTGTGCAGGACGTATCACATATCTCTAAAGGTGCTGAACTCGTCACGTCATCCATCACGATGCCCTACGAAGTCCAATGTGAACTTCAAACGGACGGTGACGCAGTCTGCACAGAGCGTCTCGACTTGGGGGTGATCACAACAACTCAGGACATAATCCTGACCGGTATTGTTGTGAGTCCAGGTGGTGGAGGCAGTGGAGGCGTGACAGCCTCTAGTGCAACGACGCCAATTCAGACCAAGACCCACCACTCGGTAACAGCGACCGCCGCTGGGCCCGATCCTACTGACACCTTTGGGGGGGACTCTCCTAGTGGAGGTTCGATTCCAAGCCTTGGTGGACTACCTGGATTTCCCGATGCTGGTTCCTTAAGCTGTAATGTGCCTGGAAGACTTTTGGCCATCCCGTTTGTGTTGGTGCTCATGAGCATCATCTGAGGTTCCTGTTCAGTTACCACGAACGAACCTGACCTGCATGTACAGTTATGATTCCAAAATATAGTTGTATTTATGATATCTTGTTGATTCAAAGGATAGCTTTCGTACCGTTGGTAATTCTTTCAGCCTAGACCGTGTCATAGATTAGAGAGGGATTCGAGACGTCGAGGGACGCTGGACCTGGAAACCAGATCCCCCGAACGGCAGAACCAGGAGAATTTGAATAAAGACCTGTACCTCGGATCATCTGATACACCGGGCTTTCGTTGAGTGAGCACTTGAACGTCATTCAAAAAAGGAGAGACAAGACTGCAAGTCTGTCCTCTTGTAAGTTGGCAGTTTTATATCCTTTCACTCTGGTCGTTCTTGGTTGCTGGAGGCTCGTCTTGGCTGCCAAGATCACGTGAATTTAAAGTCGGAAATTGCCGCAATTTTTACAGAATTACCCGGGTGGCTCTGCTGAACGGTCCTTTGCTCTCGTTTATTCCAGAGATGAAAAGCATTCTCAGCAGCCTCTATGGCTCCAGTGAAATGGAGATTCTATCTGCTTTATGCAAGACCATGAAACGCGTCGGATCTCCAGTTCGGCTCTCATCATACTTCCCGCCCCGACAGAGCGCCGAATGTCCAACCTTTCGTGCGTTTTCACGCGCCAGTTGACAACGGAGAATTTATCTTCCAGATTGCGCGACTCGACTGAATGCGCATGCCGCCTCGTGCCGCGCTGTCTGACAGCGGTAAGGGGGGTCGATGATCCTAAATCACGCCAAGCCTCAAAATGATGTTCTGATCTGCAGCGAGGCACGAGTATTGATTGGCTTTCCTACCCACATGGCGCCTAATTGCGTCGGATGCGACGCGCTCTTTTGCACTGCCTCCCGGTGAGGTGCCCCGCTAACATGATCAGACGACTGGTATGAGGAAAGGCAGACCAGTACTCCAGCTTTTCTTCTTGCTTTGGATGATTATGCTTTTTCATAAAGGCAAAGCTTGGCAGTTACATGTGCTTGAGATTGCTTTTCCTCCGTCTTTCGCGGGCGGAGAGCTTTGTGAGTTCATTTTGCTCAGATTCTCGATCAAGAGGCGATACCGTACGATTTTTGATAGTTCCCAAAGCGGGAAAGGCCTAATAAGAAAACACAAGGTTCTGTCGCGCTGATTGTACAGGCTTTCCAGGGCCGACCTGGCAGTATAATAAGGGCAAGGGCATGATAGAGGCGGTTTTTAACGTGCCCTTTCGCCTTCAGCGAGTTCTTTCGTTCGCCTCCCTGCTCATTCCGACGGTTTTTCATTTTTTGATCAGCAAGTCCATTCGTTTTTAACAAAATGATCACGTCGGCTTTGCTTGCTCTCGCTGTTGCGAACGGTGAGTTGAGATTGAAATTTGAAGGAAGAGCCTAATCAGATGCTTATCCATGTTGTTTTCAGTTGTACGAGCGCAGTCCACTGCTTCGTTGTTCCCCGTTGGATTCCAGGGAGATGACTTGCAGGGGACAGTCGTAGGCACTGGCGCACAGGGTACGACTTACGTTCTCTCCGCAACATTCGGTGACCTTGGGATACCGTATACCCGTTAGTATTAAAAAAATCTTTTTTTCCCAGATATTATTGAAGTAACTCCCTTTATCTTTAGTTACTCTCGTTCAGGGCTCAACATATCTCTCGGAGGGCGCTGACATCGTCACTGCCGGTATTACTGTACCAATTGATGCGGAGTGCGGCATCCAAGGCAGTAACGCAGTCTGTACAGAAGTAGTTGGTTCAGGAATCGATGGGACTACAATCACCGAGTCGGGTCCGATCTTCCTCACTGCTGTCCCCGTCAATGGGGCCGTTAACAGCGGTGCTACGACGCGGAGTTCAAGCCCAAGTGTCACGTTTACGGGATCGCAGCTTCCCCCTGAACTTACGCAAACATCAGATCTCCTCGGGTCGCTTGGCCCCACTGCAACTGGGTCAAGCAGTGGAAACGGTGGTGGTATCGGTGTCCCAGGTGCTTCGGGCAGCGGTGCGATGCAAATCAGCATTATTAGTGTTTCATTACTCCTTCCTGTCCTTTCTGTCATTTTCAACAGCCTCTAAAAAATCGCCTTTCTCGTTCGTATTAATTTACCCAATATTCTGGACTATTCACTCGTTCATGTATATGGATTTTAATGGGGTTTAGTTTTTATTTTTTATTTTGCTTTAGTATTATACCAGTGATTGAATTACGAATACGAATACACTCAAGTTTATTGGGCTCCTGTCACGTGCCTGCTGTGAACGTGTGCTTAAGCTTTCGCTGACGTCGATTGTGAACAGCTTAATGAGTTCTTTACTTTCGTCCACCACCACGATCGGGTCACTATGCCACCCAGTGCAGGCACCGTAAGGCTTGTCTTTGTCGCCTTTATTGTCCTCCAAGCTTTACTCTGGTCGCAAGGTCGATATGGATCATCTCCGTCGCATAACGTTCTCATCGGCTTAATGAAGCGAAGCGTCGGCGGCGATGAATGTACTCCGCTTTCCGTACCCATCGCCGAGCAATGCGCACATGTCCAAGAAAATTGCGATGTATCACACACCGTTCTTTCTATTCCATATCTCCAAAATTACTTCTGCTCAGCACCGCCTGTCCGTCCTCTTGTGTTCGGCGGACTACTTCTCTGGCTTGTATTCCTCTTCAGCACCTTAGGAATAAGTGCTTCGGACTTCTTCTGTCCGAACCTTGCGACACTTGCTTCACGTCTTGGACTCGACGAGAACGTTGCGGGTGTAACCTTCCTTGCGCTCGGAAACGGTTCTCCCGATGTGTTTAGTACATTCTCCGCTATGCGTGCCGGTGCCGGTGCACTTGCGATTGGTGAGCTCCTCGGAGCAGCAAGCTTTATTGTGTCTGTCGTGGCAGGGACGATGTGCATTATTCGTCCTTTCTCTGTGGATGCTCGACCATTTTTGCGCGATGTGGGCTTCTTCACAGCTGCAGTCGCATTACTCCTTGTAATCCTATGGGACGGAGAAATTCTGGCCTGGGAGGCGGGAATACTTATTGCTCTCTACATCCTATATGTTATGACTGTAATCGTGGGGAGTTGGTGGGACAGACGACAATTTCGACGAAAACAGCTCGAGGCCATCGTCCGCAGCGAATACGCGGATGGAGAGGTGCCGGAGCCGTATAGAGATGATCGTAAGTGTGCTTGTTGAATTCCATAGGGACGATCCATTCACCTTTTTTTGCCTAGCTTCCGAATACCTCTCCGTTCCTTCACCGACACCCCCAAGAACTCGAGCACACTCTAGTCCTGCCGCGCCGCCAACACTGGGAATCGAAACTGCGCAACTCCGACCCCGACCACACTCCCGATCTCCATCTCCGACTCCTGCACCTCAAATAACGCAAATGCCATCATTCTCCCTTGTGGGTGCCCTTGAGTTCCGACAGGTCGTCAGTTCACTACAGCAACAATCTGCTGGAGCCGCTCTCAGTGCATTTGAAAGCCCGGTCTCGCCATATATTGGTGGACATTATCACTCACACTCACACTCACATTCCCGTTCCCCGTTGGTGCTCTCACGGCGTGCTTCCTCGCAGTCCAGTCACTCGATAGCAAGTCAGGAGCATTGGGACGACGCACTGCCCTTGCATTCACGATCCCCTCGTTCGCAAACTCTTGCTTTACAAGATACAGAAGGAGAGACAGCAAGTGCACCCGCGAATCTCTCCGTCCCTCCAAGCAGCGATACTCAAATCCCTGTAATTTCTACCATTCCGGCATCACCTAGCTCAGAATCTTCTTTCGATTCTGGCAATTTTCTGTCTTCACCATATTCCAAGAGGCAACGTGTTGTACATGTGTTTGGGCATACCATGCATGTGCTCTTCCCAACCCTACACCACTTCCGTGATAAGTCAGCACTTGGAATGATTGCATCCGTACTTGCGGCGCCTGCGGTTTTCTTCCTCACGGTAACTCTCCCCGTGCAGGTCACACCACGTGGAGATGTTGATTCAGAGGAAAAAATAGGTGCAAAGAAAGTGACTATAGAAGTCCCCGAAGGTCGTCTAGTCGACTTTGAGGAAGAAGGCGTCGAACGTGTCCTCACTGCTGAAGAAGACGTACAAGAGGAAATGCATGAGTTGAAGTTCAATAAATGGCTTATGGCTGTACAATTATTACTCGGACCACTTTTTTGCGTCGCGGTGTTGTTCTCGGGCATGGAGACGCATCGTGAAATGTGGTTGCTTATTGCCACAGCTATTGGAGGAGTTGCAGCTGCGCTACTTGTACTTGCTTTTGCGGAACGAGGGAACGATCCCGTTGCACAGATGGCACGATGTTTCATGGGTTTCTTCGTCGCTGTAGTGTGGATTATGGCCATTGCTGACGAGGTCGTGAACGTCCTGAAGGTAAAGCATTCCCCTTCACCTCCCTCTAGATAAATTTATTAATTACCTTTTTATGTCCAGACCTTTGGCTTCATTTTCGGCCTGAGCGACGCCATCATCGGCCTTACAATTTTCGCCGTCGGTAACTCCCTCGCAGACTTCGTTGCCAACATCTCCGTCGCAACCTTCGCCCCAGTGATGGGATTTTCTGCCTGCTTCGGTGGACCCATGCTCAACATCCTCCTCGGTGTCGGTGTCTCGGGATCTGCCGTCATATCGCACGCCAACGGTGCTCCCTACCCTCTAGATTTCAGTACAACGCTTGTGGTAAGTACCATCGGGCTCCTCGTGCTACTCGTAGCGACACTCGTCGGTGTACCCTTGAATGGTTATCATTTGACGAGACCTTGGGGAATATTCCTCGTGCTTTCGTATATTGTTGTCATGATTATCAACATTACTGTTGAGGTGAGGCGGTAGCATTTCTAGCATCTGCATACACGTTTTGCTTGTTGTGCTTTGCTCTCCGTCTGTTCATCGCATTTGTTGTTGTCATTTTTTGTCTTCCTGCTTTGCATGGACTACTGTATGCTTATCCATTCCCACTTCTCTTGTCCATATCAATGCGCTTTATTCAATTCTTACTGTGCACTTCTAAATTTGATACATGGAATGTACGTACTGGATACAGGCTGTTCATATAAGGAATACATACTGTACTGTAACTGTGAGCGACATAAAGGAATCAAGGTGAACCCGCGGCACGGGAATAAAGCAAAGATAACAACGACAGGATATACCTGTAAGGTCCTTTTCGCCATGACATTACGTTGAGTAATCGTGCTGTGCCTCGATCACATCAAGGACATCTTCGGTCTTTTCCTTGCTCTCATCCGCTTTCGTTTCCTCTCTTTCTCTTCTCCATTTGCAGGAGAAACGGGAAGAAGTGGACAGCATAGTCGAGCTTTAAGTTCATGTGGACTTGGTAGGAGTTTTTTGTTTCGTGAAGTAAGAGGGCAGTATGTAGAGAGCTGAGATCGACTAAGCGGAAGGGATGTAGGGCGGGGATGAGGACATTCTATGATGAGAAGATCTGCCAAATCGTTCATCAAAGATGTGGTCTCGGAAGCTGGGCGCAGTATTATATGCTTTTTGCTTTCATTTTGTCGTTTCTGTTTCGCAACAATCGATATAAGCAATCACTTGCTGTTTGCTAGGATTTCGATGGTGTTAAGTGAGAAACTCACAGGGTAAGACATTCGAGATTGCTGTATGACCCACGAGAAATCTACTGTGACTTCTCTTGCCTGCTTCGTACGCTCCTCGGCACGAGATGGTGTATCTTCGTATTCACGGTCGGCAGGTCTTTAATTTGGCATTCAGACAGACGAATCAGCATAATAGGTATGTGGCCCAGCTTACTTTATTACGACAGGAGGTTTCGGTAGTACGTTTATCTTCCGAGGAGAACTATCTGTTGAAAATAGTCGATAATCTGTGTATGATCATAAATGCGGCATAAAGACGCGTAGTCGAGAGTGTAATACTGACCAAATAGGGATGTGGAAGCGTCTTCGCCTTTTGCGGTGGCATCAACCTTTGCCGATTTCCGCTTTCGTTTTTTCTGCCTTAATTCGTCCTCTACAGGACCATCTCCTTCTCTCTTCGAGCCATGTTCGCCTTCGTGAGTAACGAGAGAAGCTTGCAGGTAGCCTTCTAACCACTTCAATGCATCTTCTTGATAGCCAGCTTTGCTCCGTGCCCTTTCAATCTCTGAGTCGGATACTCCATCTTCGTCTTCATCCCTAAATACCCGTTTACGCGAACAAGGTTCAGAGGATTGTATGAGCGAATGGGGGTTGGAGAACTTTGGAATGGACGTAGACATCTTGAAGGAAGAGTTTACTCTGAGATCGTCGGATCAACGCCGCAACCGAATTATGTAAGTATTTGGGTTGATTTACTTCTCTCCTTCATTTGGCTCCGTAGTCATATCAGTAGCCAGCTCGCACTGCAGAAGATGCCTTTGTATTCTCCTATTTAGATGCTGATAGAATATACAATAGAGCACGACTGTCAATGTGTATGCAGTTTTTTTATTATCAGGCTAAGACGTTAAGACATTTATTGTTCATTTTCTATTTATAACTATGACTCTCTCATTAAGCAGTTGTCCAGAACGAGTAATCGCCTCGTCCCCAATTAAGCCGACATATCATGGTTCTAAGACACGCTGTTTTGTCTATAAGTAACGCCTGGAGACCGAGAAACATCCCATTGCTCCTTACATTCTTATCCCCACGATCCTCGCCAAACCTCCGACATTTACTGCAGACTCCATCCGCTGCCAAACACCAGACAATGTACATCATCGACTGCCTTGCCAGGGTCCCCCATCGTCAGTACTACGGCTGCCAGGCCTGCGTCGTCGCGTCTACCAATCAAGGTCAATCAGAAACTTGCCACTCACCTTCGTCGAGTGTCTACCCCAGGACCGACTCGAGAACCCCAAAGACGAGGGTGACGATGATTCGATGAGGATGCAGTGGGCTGGCCCATGTAAAAATAACATGTACTTAGCTAAGTAGTACAGTCTTTCCTGGTAGCAGTGAGACAGCTGCTCTAGGCGACATCAAGGCATTAAGACAGCAAGACAGCAAGACAGCAAGACGAGCAATGGTCCATCGTTCGCTTCAAGGTCGTAAGCTTCCAAGTCGTGTGAATCGCGTGTTGAGACTAAGAACAAACCTGAGTTATGAGACAAATGTAAGTTGAGAATGAGTGAGAGTTAAGGCTGAGTAAAAGCTGTTAGGCAGTAAGAAGGCAAGCTGAGGTTAAGTAAGAGCGTGGATTGTAAGACGCGTAAGTAATAAGTAGAAATAAGACGCCCAAGGTGAAGCCATAGCGCCAAACCGAAAAGTGGTGATAGTCGCTTATATAAGGACGTCGGATTCCAGTGCGTACAAGTAATGAGATACATGCGATAACACAAAGAACATTTGAAGAAATGCAATCAAGAGCAAGAATATCTCAAACCGAAACGGGTCTGAACCTGAAAAAAGGTAGACAGGAAGGAGTGACCGGAAAAGAAAGGGGAACGACAAAAGACATTGACCAAAGAAAGATGAACCTGCCACCAATCCATCCGCGTAAATCCAAAGAAATAAGACTCAGCCAAACAAGTGGGCGAAAGACGGGTAGTGAAAGGGATAGCATTACATCACCTCAAGAAATGAGTTACGAGAAAGCAAGACTGCGAGATCCTCCATGTAAGCAGAAAGAAGAAATCAGGTGAGTTAGATAAACAGAACAACCATAAAAACGAATAAAAGATAAAACGACACGTTAGCACAAGGGAAAGGCACGAAAAGAGACATAAACGTTATGAGTCATGACATTCTCCTCGTTCGCAGGAGTGTCTATCGCTGTGTGATACGATGGACACATGTGCTCGTATTTCGTCCGTAGGCGTCTAGCAAACGAAGCTCAGCATTTATAACGACTTTGAATGATAAGGCAGAGAGGGTGTCTTACCTTCAATTCTTTCAGTTCTATCGACTTCGTTTCCGTCGTTCGGGACGTCCCGCCACAACTGGAGGACATGTTCCCAGTCTAGTACGCAAATGAACTCATCAGCAACAACGGACATAGATAAACTTTGCTTATACCTGTGTCTGCATTCGACTCCTCGATATCATCGACGGTGTCACACCAGCAATCTCAATAGTAGTAGGCGAAAAACCATCCTCCGTAGATAGTTTGCCTCGACTGTCCATGTCGAGACCCTTGCCTCTGAGAGCGTGACGTGAGTTGAGCGTTGCAAGTAAGGAGTTAACATAGCCTGCGACAACCATAATGAGCAATTAAAGGTGGCAATAAAATTTCTTAAGCGCCTTACATTTCCCAATGATCTGAGTAACTGACGTGAGTAAGGGTCAATATATATGAGAAGATGCAGGACTCACAAAGTCAATTGCAAGGAACCAGAATGTGTTCGGAAGTGTAACGAACTGAAGGCAATATGCTTCACAAAACAAATTCTTTCCAAGTTCATTGAAATGTACTCACCACAATGACCTCCACAATCGCCATTATCCTTGACAAGAATTAACATGAAACCAATTCAAAGAATCCTCTACTTACGATGTCAGCAAGCACCTATTGATGGCGTATAGAATAAGGTAGTTAATGAGTGTATTCGTCCTATTAAAATTGTATGTGAGTATTTTAGACCTCGTGTAGAAATTCAAGATATGGGCGTACGATTGGAATGAAGTCTTCTTATGTTGAAGTAAATAACATAATGCTGCGGTGATTGCAACGTCTGATATAATCGCTGTAATCGCAAACGGTAGTGCAGCGTAATACTGATTAGATTGCGCATTAGTCAGTTTGGGACTACTGGGATAAAGACGAGGATAGGGAACAAGATAAATAGATACGCACTAACAGCTCCGATAGTCGTCTGAACTCTCCCTTAATGAAACTACATGTAATAGAGCGTTATCAGCTTAGAATTTGCCGACGACTTATGATCTTGCGAGCTCACAATTCAACCATCGTTTCTATGTTTCATAAAATATTTAGCACTAACGACCAAGTTATCCATTACAAAACACTCTCACCTATTCCAAAACCTGAATAAATCATAATATTTCATGAGTACTGAGGCGCTGCGCGCACGACCAAGACGCTGCATACCAAAGTGTGCCACAACAAAAAGTGCCTAAGGTTTACATTTGATAAATTCTTGAGCTTGATAACTGGAGGGCATTACCCTTACCGTTGGAACTGTTATCCACCAGTTTCTCCCACTCACTACAGGCAGTAAGTCTGAAGTCAGAGTAAGATACATTAAAGGTGATGGATAAAACATACACCCGTGAATTTTGTGCGTAAAGAAACTATCCGTGCAATACAGTTAAGCGTGCGTTATGATTTTTAGATGAATAAGTCTTACCATTGAACAAGAAACGCTATGACAACGTTCATGCCTAACGATAACTACGACGTCTATAAATATAGAGCAATACAAAACATAGCGACGGGCGCGTACAGGAAGGGACCTAGGCTTAGATTTTCAGTAACTCCTCTTCTGCATGACTTTCTAATGCATACCAGACTTCGATGTCAAGAGCAGGTACATTGTTGAAATTCGTAATCTGACGGACAATGTCAGACAACACCAATGGGTGCCGAGTATATTGCATTGAGCGCACCAGATAATGGTACATCGTATGGGAGACTATAGATAGGAATGTTAATGTGAAATGGTTGTGTGCCTGAACAGAAGAACCTCTTACCCAAAGAGATGTGGAACGTATCCAGAACCCTGTGACGATCTGTAAATACTCCAACGACTGCATTGACGGGACTCACCATAAAACAGACACCTATACAAGCACGAGGGTGTATTAGCACAATCTTTAGCCCTTGTTGACGTGATACTCACGAGGAATTTTATCGGTAATGAGTCCTTCGGATAGTTGAAAAAGAAGAGATAGGTCTGAGAAGTAGGGCATTAGCAAATGTCTTTTAGTCGAAGGTATATCGTACGCACTTGGAGACATGTTATTCCATACAAGCTACACTCCCGTCGTCAGCCGAGTCCTTCTTCCAGGTTTACAGCCAGAACGAAAGGCATACATCATCATGATCATTGCACCAATATACGCCGATCCTTTACAAAGATAAATTAATGATGAGTGGCACTGTAATGGGCTTCGGGAAGTAGGGAAGCGACCGGGGATAAGTGATCCTAGCCGGATCAGCACCTACCAAATGTGTCTTTCACACTAACCGCAGCAGCCGTCGATGCCATCTTGGGGCAGGCTGCCAGCCACGGAAGACGTCCTGTCCTGCCACTGTCGTTCGAGGTAAGGAAGAAAGATGAGGGCGGAGCTAAAAGAGCGTTTCTTTCACCTTAGGCGACTGTGGGGTGTTTTCGATTTTCGCACGTTTGCAAGTGACAGCGTCGATCCGCTTAAGCAGCCGTGTCGATCATTTCCATTCTTGTCAAGTGTAAACCTTGCGCAACTCCGAGTCGGATTCCTGTCTTCAGCCAATGAAATTCATGACATGAAGCATCCATGCACAATGATACATATTTTAACAAACAGACATGCCTGGCACTACCCTTGAGTCCCGTTATGATATGGGTCTCGTTAGATTTCTGAGTTCTCATTGTCTGTCCCAGCAAATTTAAAGCTTCCTCCAGGCTCCAGATAGGTCTGCATATTATTTGTCTTGGTGCAGAGTGTGGAAGGTCATACAGCCATCTTAAAATCATTGCCATCATTTTAGGGCCCTGTGTAGGTCCATTGCCGATCCATACATGCCTGGGCAAAGGTATGTAAATCCGGATTGCTCCAGATTCAAGAGAATGGCCGGATTCTGGCCAGAAAAACGAGACTTCATCCGGATTGGTCAGATTCTTAGTGGACAAAGAATTGACATACAAGAATAAGGTGAGTGGATGTAGGCAGCTAGGCTTACCGTAGAAAGCAGATAAAGTCGAGGAGTCTACTACATAAATGGCTCTTCACCTCACAACCTTTTTCACTATTTTCGACACAAATGATCTCTGATTAATTGCCCCGCCCCCTATCCAGAAATGGTTTGAAGTTTGCCATATACTGTATAACTCAAAGAGATCAATTACTTTTCTGCTGTCTGGATACTGCGCATAGGCTATTTTGGTTCTCCCTTTGAACACATTTAGCAAATGCTGAATAAATGGAAGTTTCCAAATCGAGGTGATGACGCCGACGTGCCGCGGTGTAAACTGAGGACGTGTAAAATACGCAAGCAACCGAACCTCCTGCTGCTGTTTAGACTTCCACCGCTATGTCGGACGAGCGGAGTCCAGAGGAATTGCTGCAGGTATTTATTTATGTCACAATCTATTCTAGTCGTAAATGATTGAAATTGAAATTTTTTAGTCGGCTCTGTCGTCAGCATTTACACCCGTGTCACTCGCCCCAGAACCTCCATCTTCAAGTCCAAAACCCGACTCTGCTGCTGAAATTACAGCTACAGCTGCAGCAGAAGCGGCAGCAACGTCTGCAATCGCACCCCTCGTCTCACAAGAAGACCTCGCGAAGTACGAGGAAGAACGCGCAGCACTCGAAAACAGCTGGCGCGAGCAATCGGCAGTTCAACGTAAAGAAGCGGAAGAACGAAGGGCGCGAATTGCTACTGAGCGTGCTGCATCGGGTGAGAGTTGGGAGAAGCTTGATGAGGGAAAGCCTTTGCGTGGTCCACCAAATCAGATGTCAGGTTCAAGTGCTGCTGCTGCTGCTGCTGCCGTGAGTGGGAGTGGGTACCCTGGCTCCCCGAGTCCTGCGGATGCCAGGGGTGTTGTGTCGGGTGAACCGTCCGGTTCAAGGCATATTGAGGTAAGTTCTTTGAAACGAGTGGGATATGAATTGATTTAATTTATCGTGAAATAGGTATCTGCACAAGTATCACCACGCACAACTGCAACGTTGGAACACAGCCAGCGCTGGGAAGAAATAGAAGACGTCCCGTCCATGGAATCATCCTACCCATCTCTCTCCTTCCCCGAACACTCCGACAGCGCACCCTCAGACAACACAGGCTCAAAGTCCAAATCGGCAGAAAAACCCACTCCTGTTGCGCTCCCGTCTACAACTTTATCCGTATTTGACAGTCGTCTGTCCACTCGCTCACGTGTGATCGCACTCCTCTCATCACTTTCGATCAATCTTTTCTTGCCGTTTGTGAATGGAGTCATGCTTGGATTTGGTGAAATCTTCGCCCGAAATATGGCGTTTCGTTTCTTCGGGTGGGGGATACCTGGTGGTGCAGCTACTGCTGTTGGTGTAAACGCTACGCGTAGACGAAGCTAGACCCTCGTAGAGAGGTTTAACTGCATATTGGTACGAAAATTATGGGCTTTTTCGCTATTTTTTTCTCAGTCAGGAATTTTATTAGGTATTATAAATACTGTTACACGTCTTAATGAACTTTGCTTCAAATTTTACGGCAATATTGGACAGGAGACATGTGTGGGGATATTTTGTGTTTTCACCGGACCAAGAAAAGTGCATCAACGAAGCACCTGGCAAACACGTCAAACTCACAAGGTGACGACATTGAAAGCAAGAAAGCAGAGTGAAACAATATTCTATGTACTAAAATGGCTATTTTACAACCAAACCAGACGCAAGATACGGTCCAACTTGATCCAGATGCAATATAAATAGGGGGTAAAAGGGGTGACGAGACGGTGTGCAAGGTGAATGAAATGTGTCTTCGCTCAAACGGATCACAGGCAGGAGAGTACAATACAATGAAGACCAAAAACGTCTGTCCACGTCCAAATGGATCGCTGGGATAGGGGTGTGAAGATCTAAAATGACTACTGAGTTTACGAAGGTGGCATCCTCCACAAACTCCAAATCCTCATATTCAGAAAATAGAATTGATGATCCCGCTGCCAACAGCAGCACCAGCACCAAAGCCCACACCTCCAGCAGCAGAGTTTGCCATCTATATAAGTAAAGAATCGGCATAAGTTCGGTGTTCCAATTCACATGAATCGGGAATAGATAAAATAGGAGGCCAACCGTGTTGCCAAGTCCACCAAACTTGCTTTTCTTTGGTTCCGCCTGAGGAGGTGGAGGTGCGGCGGGAGGACCTTGAGGAGGTGGGGCGTACATTTGTTGTTGCTTCTCGTTTCCGTATCCATATGGTTGTGCCTGCCAGCTTGGCTGGGGTGGTCTATTGTAAGATGCAGGTCCAGCATTAGGGAAGGGTGGGGCCGGAGAAGAAGAGTAACTCGGTGTCCTCGAAGGCTGGCCGAACATTCCGCCCATTGGCTCGGGTACAGGAATAGGTGCACCAATTGGTGACCTTGAGCCATTATCAGAAGCAGAGGGTAGTTTCTCGACATAATTAGATGGGAAAAGACCTTGCTTGTTATTAATGCGACCTGTCCACCAGTCTGCGTTTGTTTCGCTGACTATGTCGATTATGTCTCCTGCACGGAAGGAGAGGTCGTTCGGATCCTGTGCATAAATAAATTCATTTTTATTAAAAATTCATAGAGAGAAAATAGAAAGGTTGATTAATAATAGATGAGTAATTGAATACTCACTGAGCCGTTTTCATTGTAATCCCATAAAGCCCTAGCCTGAGGAGTTCGTGGTGCAGGTGCAGGTGGTGGGACAGCCCGTCTCAGACTCGTCGACATTACGGCCTTAGGCGGAGATGGCGCCCTTTCAATACCATCTCGCTCCCCATTGACATGCCCATTGACGCTCAAGTGTCGCATACGTTCTGCCACACTCAACACAGGGCTGCCTCTTCCCTGTTCCTCAGTACGTCCATTTCCACTGTTCCCCGTTGCATTCCTGCTGACACCAGGCCGTTCACTTGTAGCACCTTCTTCTGAAAGTGCAGAAAGCTTGGATAGTATACCTGCTGCATCCGATGCGCGCAGGTAGTTCTGCGACACGAGGAAATCGATGTTGGATTGTGTCTGAGAGATAATGTGTGCGAGGAGGGCTGACGACTTCGCTTCACTGTTTGAGTTTGTGTGCATTGCTAGGCTTGATGGTGGTACTGTCGATTAAATGAATGATAAAGAGGCCAGCAAGACTGAAGAGACACTGAATGAGGATGAATGAAATGAAAGACACCGTTTGGTGCCGCAAGGCTAGAAGTGGCTGGCATGTGCGGTTTGGAGTAATCATCATCAACACTGCCTTCTCGACTGATTATGTACAACAGATCCCGCTAATTTCGCACTTGGTGCTTCTTTGTCCCTACTCTGTACCTTCACTCATGCATACTTTACACAGTTGCAGGACAGTGATTTGTGCTATCGAGACGTGCATATTTCGTTTGTCAGAATCGAGGCTCGGCTGGAGGAAAACGACGATCTAGATGAGGACGTAACTTTAATTTTATCCCAAACCACCACTTTTTTTTTCTGAATCGTCGAGTAGGTGCCCATTCTTGCAATTCACTCCAAGGCCACTCTCATTTTTCATTTGTGGATCGTCTCGTCTTCTAGTGGCAGAAGAATAGGAAGCCAGGTCATTCATGCATTTGCATTAATATTCAGCGTCAAGTGGCAAACTTCTTCAACGTTGTTCTCTTGATCCACTGCGACCAGCAGCAAACAGTACTCCTGGTTGTGGCCGCTCCTGGTTATTTTTAAAACGCTGACTCCTGCCGTGGATTATCCCACGAACCTCACTCCTTCAACCTTCCCTGCCCTCTCTTAACCCCTCTCTTGTGTTATCGACCGTTCAACCCCCCTTCTACCTCTCTCTCGGTGGCAGTCCTTCACGTCGCTCCTTCGTCTCGTACAAATTCGGCATGTCATCGGTACCAAATCCACTGAATATAACCGCTGCGCTTGTCGCTGCACAGATGTACCAGGCCATGATGAGCTACCAGGTATGACTCTGCTACTTGCTCCGCAGTATTAGACTCGATCGAACTGACGAGACATATACTAACACAGATGGCTCGACCCCCTGGTCCACTGCATCCCGGCAACTACTTTACATCTGCATATAGTCCACTTACTCCCCTCACCCCTTCTACACCAACCACTCAGGGACTTGTGCCACCACGGATGGACCAGGGCCCATCTCGTCAATCACCCGAGTCCTCTTTCGAGGACAAGGGAAAACGGCCAGTATTGCAATATCCAGTTGATAACAGGCTGCCTACTCCACCCGAAACCGAGGAAGAGCCTCGTAGAGACAAAAAAGAATATGCCAGTGACCATGAAGATGAAAAGAACATAACCACAACGAGCGAGGAACAACTTTTTGAACAACTTCGTCGAATGGCCAAGCATATGAGGAAAACGATACTCCGCCGCTTTGTCAGTATCAGTATATTACACAATTCCGGGGACAATAATAATCTTACCTTGTCCTACAGAAGAGGGATAAAAGGCCAACTCAGCGAGGAAGGGTAATATCTCTTTCACATACTTGGCACACTGCCAGTTGCGATTGCTATATCCCATCTTGCTCATATACCTATCATGTTTCTTGCAGCGTCCACTTAAAGGCGACTACGAATGCACCTTCCAAGGCTGCAACTTCCGAGCATTAAAATACCCTCTCTTCCAACGGCACGTCGGCACACATTATCCAGATGCATACTTTTGTCCAGCGTGTCGCAGCTCGTTCTCCTGTTTGGAGCAGTTTGACAAGCATTTCCAATCCCAGAGCACGCCAAAGGGACAAGATGAACCATGTGTAGCAAGTGAGGAGGCAACGTTGTATGAAATTGCCAGGGACAAAGAGCGCTTCAATGTGTATTACATGGGTGCGATGGAGGATTATCCAATGCCCGATGAGCATTTCGAGATCCTTGCAGGGAGAAAGAGGGGAGCAGCCATTTAAAAAGTCAGGTTGAAGAGTTTTCTCATTGTTTGAAAGCAACGTTCTCATTTTGAGTTTTACTTAAAAGGTGGAGCAAACTCATTAAGAACTGTGATGCGACACGCTTGTGGAGGATATTTATGTGCTGGAGAATGAAAGCCAAAAGTTTCCTTGAAGGTTGATGGAGTGTCAATCCTGTCAACTTCAGTCAGCTATTGAAAACGTGGTTACGATATTGTTGATAAGTGGACGTCTAAAAGACTAATTACGAGTTATTCTGTATATTGATACATACTGGTGAATTATGGACATTGAGCAACCAGCTATGAAAATTCGAACAAAAAGAAAAAGAAAAAGGAACGAGCCGGATGGAAATTTAGGTCTTGCCGAAGATGAATCCGAGATCGGCATGTCGCTTGCCAATTGCAGCCTGGTCCGTTTTTCTTGGCCTCCGTCACCGATCCGGAACCGGTATACCTGACAGTGCAAATGCACTGCAACATCAACCAGAACCTCAGCACGAACGAATAAAATGTCTCTCTTTTACCTACGACCACCATCATGGCGGACACTCAGCCTAAGATGACTGCACAGAATCCGGTGCTTTGCGGGCCTTTGTTAAGGTCAGTTGGACTCTGTAGGTTCGGCTTATTCGAGAGGCTGACAATGTACCTGTTGCAACAATGCTTGCAATCATTTTAAATTCGTACACAGGTACACATACATTGACTACTCTACGTTAAGATGGAACGGCTCTATCCTCCTCGTTCTACATGGTTCAGAAGCACCTACGTTACACATCCAACCCGCACTCGACGAATCACCTTCTGCAACCAGCTTGCTCTCAGAAAATGGTCATTCCTTCTGGCGGTTTAGCATTTCCATACCACTTTCGGATGAAGATGTTCGTGTATCGTACAAACTTTCCATTCCTGCCTCAAGCGGAGGGAGCAGCAAGGAGAAGGAGGAGTTTGGGCAGCATGACAAGGAATATGCGTTTTACGTCCCAGCAAAGGACGAGACCATGCGTATCATGTTCCATTCGTGTAACGGATTCTCACTTAATGTCAAAGACGGGACATTCGCTGGACCGGTATTATGGAAGGACGTCTTGCGAGGTACGTGCTGATGTGTAAACTTCCGGTGATGAATCACATCACTAACTCATTGACTTGATCAATGAATGCGCCAGTTCACGCCGAGCAGCCGTTACACGTGATGATAGGAGGTGGTGATCAGGTAGCAGTCTGAAACCAGATTTTACTGCTGGGCCAGTGCTGACGGGAATTAGGTCTATTCTGATGCTGTACGGACAGAAGGACCTTTGCAAGGCTGGGCAGATACAAATTCTCCTAGATGGAAGGCAAAAATGCCATTGTCGCCTCAACTTGAAGCTGAATTGGATAATTGGTAGCATTCAATTTTTCAAGAGATAGGATATTTGCTCACTAGCATTGGCAAAGGTATTTCAAGAATTATTGTGGTTGGTACAGCAAAGAGCCTTTCTGCGAAGCAGCAGCGATTATACCTTGTGGGTTCTTTAGTCCATATGGCAGGCGAATAGTGGCTTACTTATGAGTAGCGCTACAAATTTTTGACGACCATGATATAATTGTAAGCCGAATTTCAAATGGGTTAAAGTGGGAAAGTCAACTTGTCTTGTTTAGGATGGATTTGGATCGTATCAGGACAAGTGGATGAAGGCACCGATTTTCCTCGGTATCGGGAGTGTCGCATGGAAGTATTACATGCTATTCCAGCAGCACACTCCACCGAAAGGCGAGGCCAATGAAGACCCGTCGTGGGTGATTGGGAAAGAGAAAGGCCCATACATCCAGGAATATTCACGCTCTATATGCACGACCCTCGGTGAGCGAGTGGTCTTTTATGGACTCGATTGTCGCGTGGATCGTACACTGGAACGGGTGTGCTATGGCTCGACCTATGACTTGATGTTCGATCGGTTGAAACGGGAGGTTGTAGTCGGTCGTACAAATCACTTGATTTTGCTTCTTGGAGTGCCTATTGCGTATCCTCGACTCGTCTGGCTTGAGAATTTACTGAGTGCACACACCGTCACACTCATCCGGTGGCTCGACAAGCTCTTCGGCGTTGCGAGTGGTGCTTTCAATAAATTCGACGGCTCAGCGGAGCTGCTCGATGACCTGACCGACCACTGGTGTGCACACACTCATAAGCCGGAGCGCAATGCATTCGTGCAGCGTCTGCAACGATTTGCGAAGGAGAAACAGGTGCGAGTGACCATACTGAGTGGGGACGTCCACCTTGCTGCAATCGGACGCTTTTTCTCGAAGGCCTCGTTGGGAATCCCCCAGGTGTGTATTTGCTGATATTTAGTCCGGCGGTGGAGTGGATTTGATGCGATCTATTTGTAGAATAAGGACCCACGCTACATGGTCAACATCATCTCGAGTGCCATCACAAATGCACCGCCGCCGAAAGCGATTGCGAACATGCTCAACAAGCGTAACAAGCTGCATCACCTGGATGAGCACACAGACGAAAACCTCATGGCATTGTTCTATCAGAATCCAGATGGAAAGTCGAACGCAGTCAACCGTACGACACTACCTGCGCGTAACTACTGCATCATCACTGAGCATGCAGGGCTTGTATTCGCGAACAAGAGGAAGAGAGAGGATACATCAGGGGTAGCTTCTGAGGTACAAGGTAAAGAGAATGAGGGGAAGTACGGAAAAGGGGGAACGAGGGACGGAAGCGACTCAATGGATATGGTGGTCGCACACCGGCAGACTGGGGGTGTGGATCACCCTTCGGCATCAGCGCCTCAAAGTGGCACGAAGCGGAAGTACGCTCTCGACGTCTGCATCCGCGCCGAAATCAATCCTAAGAGCGCCGAGGGTCGGACTCTAGCATATGGCTTCAGCATACCTTCTCTGGAGGTATAAGTCAGCTTCCTTAGTACAGTCGAAGTGACTCCCCCTGTTTGCTTGAGCATGAGGTGTGGAGAAAATGTAAGTTCCGGTTGGATTCTGAGACAGCCACAGTGTTCTATGTATTGATACATTATTATACTTCCTCTGTATAAAGTTTCTTGATGCCACCCACGTTTCCCACTCTGACAATCGAACGCATCTACCGAGCTCCTTCTTCAGCTGAGTGCGCCAAAGTCTTTGTCACGAAGCTGAGATGCTCAAGTATGTAAGCACTCTCCGGTCGAAAGTTTCCGGTGCAATAAACCCTTCTATCGCGTGCATGCCATGTCGTGTGAGCCACGACCGGTGACTGTTGTTAATTTTATATGGAGTGAATTACCATGGACTTGTTTCTGGTAGGAGTCCCATTTCACGCTCTGGAAGCCCAATATTTGTAGAGTTAGCAGAATCAAGTCCTACATAACGAAGCTTTGCAGCAGAAGTCCTTGGGGACGTAAGATTCGAGAATATCCGCTTTGATGAAGGCTTCGCGTCCATAGAAGAACTCTCTGAGGTAAAGATATTTCCAGACTGGTACGAGATAGGGAAACACGCACATGACGTGATTCAAACGTTTATTTTGGTCTGAATACAAAGAACAGCGAAGGAAATGAGGGGGGCGGGAAGTCTTTCAGCGCTTACTTGACGCTCCGCAGAAGCTCATCCCAACGCCGTCTCCGATACTCCCCTCTCCAGTCCTCTACCGTTGAATTTGTAGCCGATTCCATGGACATAGGTAGAGTAGTTCCTGCGTGCATGCCTAGACCCTTCCTACCAACATTTGCAACAATTTGAAGAGGTTCAGAAAGTGCCGCACGCTCGTCACCAAGCGACCATCCTTCCTCATCGGAAGCATTGGAGGAACGTGGCGCAGGGACCCCGAGTGTACTGCCCGGGACCCAACCTTGCTTTGCCAACAACCGGTGGCCAATATTCGCATCGGAAATAGGCGCAGGCGGCGCTGAAATTGAAGAAGACACGCTGAGATCATAAGCGAGAGATGTAACCGACGAGCTGGCGGGGGACGCTCTATATGTGTTATTCCATGCTTCAATCTCCATGGAAGGTGTTAGATTTGTAGTCGATCGTGGCGGTATGCCAGGGGGTGGTGAACTCGAGCGTGAGTAGGGATGCAAAGCACGTCGCTTCGCAGAACGATCAATGTATAACTGCGAAGCACTGCCGTGAGTCTTGGATGCATCTGAATGACGGGACAAGAGAGCCCTCTTCAAGAGATTTATGGCACTTTTTGCATCGCGTGAAGCCCTTGGAGTGTCTCCCGCGACCTCAGCGGACTGCTTCTGAGTTCGTGTGCTGCCTGTCACGGAGAAAAGTGGGATGTCAAATTCTCCGTCAGAGCGACATTCGTCGCATGGGATGCCCGCGGGATGCACATGTACGACAAAGGTGGTTCTTCCTATCGAAAGTTCATCCGAGTTATGAAGAGTCCGGGGTACACTTGCTTGCCTTGGAGGAGATAAACGTGTGAACATAGGGTCTAGAGTAATGGTGTTCGTGTCCAAGCCTAGGCTATCATCGGCGGCAGTCTGCATATGAAACTGGCCAGTAGGAGCAGGCAAAGTTTTACGTGATTCAGATTTGACAAACGTCCCGTGCTTGGAGCCCATATCTACAATGGCCCATTCTTTGTGCCCCCGGTCCCAGAACAAAGTAGCATGCAGCTTTGATACTTCCATGTCCTTGAGACGAATCCGAGGAACATCTTCAGAAGTGGAGACATCACGTCCAATTTGAGCTTCGTCATATGCATCCAGTACAGCTACTCGCCTTTTACGGGCGAGAACTGCGGAGGACTTGGCCACGAGTCTGAAGCATGTCTGGTGGTGCGAGTCTGAAGTCTGATTCCCAATTGGCGCGTTGTATTCGGAGTCAATTTCCGAGACAGGCCACTCGAGAGATGGGTTATAGTCAGCTGAAGCATAGATTCGTGAGTCCATTAAAAAAACTGTAGTATGAGGTTGCGCTTGAATTCAGAGGTAGTGGTTACTAGCGTCGGAAGCACACGCGAGAAAAGGTCAGAGTTTGGATCAACACTTGATTAGTAAGCGAAAGTTTATTCAATATTCCCAGGCTTTGTTTGTCCAGCTGCGCTCTCTGGCTTCGTTAGCGAACCGCAACCACTAGCTCTCCAACCACTATAGTAGACAGAATCCATTGATCTTATTGTTTATAGGTTCACCTTCGGGTATTCGCCGAAGGGACTCGATCATACAGTGATGTTTATACTACTTGTGAACTTAGCTTACACTTAATCCAGGGCTAATTAATCTCACGTGCAGTTTGGCCGCGGAAATAACTTCTTCCAGCGGATTCAAGACTCGTAAACCATGGAAGAATTTACAGATGTACGACCTTTTGGTGATTTGTACTCATGGGGCGGGTCCACTCTGACTCGATCGGTAATATTAGATCCACCTTAATGCTCTTGTTTCAAAGGAATGGCTTGTAAAAGTCGATAACTCAAATTCAATCCCTTACCTTTTTGTGAGATTATCTTCTGTCATTGAATATTCCAGGGACGTGACGACTGACCGTTTATCCGAGAAATTTGGATTTTCTGAAGAGGGGGGCACATGCTTTATGCTCATATCAGACACGAAGGCTGTGTGGACTGAAGGTCGTTCCCACTCTGTGTTTGTCTCAATATAAGTCATTTCTGAATATTTTACTTCTTCCTGTTCAGTCTTGACAAGGAATCAAATGTTCCGTCGTTGGCGGCGCTGCAACCCTTCCTTGGCTCTGGAAAATAGCGACAAAACTTTTTCTGACCTTCGAACCCTTGTTGGAGACATGCACACTCCTGGGGCCATCTCCGATGCAAACTTTGACGTCGTGGAGTCTCGTGACGCGGTATGCTTTATGGTATAGCCCGCCGCTTGTTTCCTAACCCCATTTTCCTTAGGATCGCGCATTCGAAATTGATTGTGATGAGTTCAAATGGCGGTGGGATGCGTATTTATTGGGTCCGAAAACGTCTGCAGACGTCATCTCAAAGCACTTGATCCTTCCGCTCATCAGCCTTGCTCATGTATCGTTTTACTCGGCTGACCCTGTCAGTGAGCTGGAGGATCACGACCTTGAGAAGGTAAGCACGGGGCTTGCGTTCGAATGAGATCACTGGTCTGAATGTTTTGTGCTCATTAACCTAATCATCCATTTCCAGACCGTGGACAGGATAGGACGGGCTGCTCGCCGGAGCGTTGATGTACACGTGAAGCATACGCTAGCGCGTCCCAAGATAGCGACAACTTTACAACGAATCTCATCGTTATTTGGTCTCGCAGATGACCTGCGTGAGTCTTCAAGTGGTCCAGAGCTTGAATGCTTCAAAGTTGACTGAATCTTGCTATTCAGCACACATCATATCCGAGGAACAGTCTCCTGATTTGAAAGGGCCGCTTGCATCCCTTCTTACTCGCTCGGACAGGTCGGACGAAACGTCTCCAGCGCCCGTGGCCACCAACAAAGAATCCAATACAGACGTAATCACAGTGACCAACCTCCATGATTCTGACCCACCTGAAGCAACATTGGAAGCAGAGAACATTCAACAACCTGCTAACGCAGCGTCGGAGACGGAGAGCGATGGGGATGACAACCAGAGATCTGTAGCACCCAATCCAGACGAGCCTGTGGCCCGCGGACCTTCCCCCCAGAAAAACATCAGTCCTCCTCAGAAACCGGATTCCGAGGACCACCCTTCTTGTCCAACGTCTTACGCTCGCGAATCGGACTCGGACTCGCCCCGACCGATGAAGAAGCTTAGAAGAAAAGCACATCTCAGCGAATCAAATTCTGACTCGGAATCGGGTAGGAAAATTCGGTCACCGAGCGTGCAGAACTCTTCCACAACAGCACAAGTTGCAGGACGCGGAGTCAGACAACCGATAAAACGAGGGGGAAGAAGGTTCTAACGTCGGTTCATCTGTTGTCTTTGAATAAGACGAGAAGCGTGGAGGAGCTTCGTATGATTGTCCAAACTGTACTGCAATTATGTAAGTTGATGTATTATGAACTTCCGCCCCTTCTTTGTCCCTCGTGCATCAGACTGGTACTTTCTCAAGAGCACCAAACTAAACCGAACTCTGTTCGGACCACACTGAAAAACGTATGGCGGTCGGCTACTCGTCCCTGAACCGGAGAGAATGGGACTTAACGCAGATCGAATTCGCTAGGTACCGGCCGACAAGCCCACAGAGATTAAATAGTTCCGAAGGGACCTCTTACTTGCCTGCCGTCAGTATTGGGGCTGTACATAGTAGTGCCGGCTTGAATGGATTTATCCCACTGTCGTTCCCTTCTCGAAGCGATTCTTAAAACACTCTAGCCATTTCCCTGTTTGGACAACACAGTATATCTTTCACAAGCGGTGTGCATTGTTCTACCGTAACCAGTAGTTCTGAGTCACTCAGGGCTACAGTACCAACTTGCGCTGCATAGAGCATAGAATTGAGGTAAAAAGGCGAGCGAAATCCGGGCTACTATAGAAGGGGTATTTATTGAAAGGAAAGCTACACATTTGTGATGTTTGAGAACAGCAGGTATTCGACGAGTTAATACAGTGAATTGTCAACTTGAAACGTGATGAGGAGCTGTTACAGGGTGGCTATTAGTGTACACCGAGGACTGTGGATTTGTACTTTCAGACGAGGATAATCAATACATAGAGGGAACATTCCAAGAGAAACTCGTCCCATCGATTGCGCAAAAAGTGCAGACTCGCTCTCCAGGAACGCATGTGAGAAGCACGGTGCCGTGGGGGCGGCAGGCTTCTGGAATGACAGGGAGATGAAGGGGCCAGTACAAATCGAAGGAGAAGGATAAAAAAAGCGCTTAAGCCGACATCATCGCTTCATCGATAGCTGCGAGCGCGTGCACTCTCCATGCACGTATCGCACTTGAATTGGAACATGTTTACGACGCGCTTGTTGTCTAATTGTACCTGATTATCGAGAGTATCAGTAGAAAATATGGATTAACTTTGATAAACTTTTTGTCGTGGAAGTGGGGAAGAGTTACCTTTGGACACACGCAATCGCGAGCGGATTTATGTTTGTGCTCTGAGCTCGTCTTACAGTCCGGAGACATGCAGTCGGCTCGTTCTCCAGAGTAGTAACGTATAACATAGTGCTGCGAATGATGGATGAGCCCCGTAACCTTGCGCCCTGGGAGTCAACATACTTGACATCCGCGATAGTAGTCGCCGAAGCTTCATGTCATGAAAGAAGAAATTCTGATCTTTAATAAAGGTCTGAAAATGAAGGGGGGAGGAGAAGGTACACACCATTCGTATGTACACATAATATTGGACAATGTAAAGTTGGTACAAGAAAGTTGAGACTGTAGATGAAGAAAGAGACGGAATGATGCAGAGATGCAACGGAAGCTTCGAGACTTTATAGGGCGCGAATGGAGGTCGTGGACTAATAGCAAGCAGTCATAACGCGTCATTAGTGTGACCGCGCATCTGCAAGTCTACGCGCGGTTGAGCGGTGGAACCTGTATCACGAGACGGTCGTGATGGCTGTGCATTCCGTTCATCCCTGCATACCGCTTTCGAGACCAGTGAAACGGCTTTACCCGCACTAGATACCTTCTTTGCGGTGGTGCTTAGTCCGTCACCCTTAAAGGTAATCCAATGTCATTTTTTAGAAAGTGCGTGTAATGTTGCGTATCGCGGTAAAGAGTACGAGAATAGTCAGTGGGAAGACAGACCTGCGCAACATGTTTTCGGGGTGGTCCGCGATGGCTCAGTCGGCACGGGACAGAAACCCTTGGGTATTCGGCCCACAGTCCGATTACCAAAGTGAGAAACTCAAATGTTTCTTATCCGTTCTTCACCAAGCTCTCAGACTATGTTCTCTGTGATCCCAGATCTCGCTGCTTGAGCTCTATTCGCTGCTACTAGTTGATGACGCCGTACCAATGCTCGACTTTCCGAGCTCTAATGGGTGTCTCACATCAGCTGAAGTAAGGTTTGTGTGCACTTGGATGCTGTACCGATACGACACCTCACTCGACCGGTATCTCCCCGAAATGCGGCGCAAAGCCAGGATTCACTGGCCGGTATAACCCCGTGTGCACATGCATGCATTACAGTAGCGGCAGAGCGGAGCTTACCACATAGATTAGCTGGCGGACAAAGTTTGATCAATCTCGGTCACTGAACCCAAGTATCTCGGGAGATGTCACCCCCGCAGTAGACGAGCCACTGCACGTAAAAGGGATACCAAGACTTTCTCTTTGAGTCATCACGGGGATTGTGATTTTGCTTACACGCCTTCATTAGTGCTGTCGGCGCCCAATTGACCTGACATCCTCGGTTGTGGTCTGAATTGTTCGGAGACTTCCGAGATCCTAAGCAAGACCATGTCGGAGTCCGGGAGAATTCAACAAGGGATAACAGAGGGGGAGGGTTATATGCCTTGAGTATCTCATACCATCCTTTAGTATTGACTGCCAGCGGTGTTGGGACGGAAAAGGCCTCGGAGAAGCCGTGCTTCAACACGTGTGCCGTATGCGGAACAAACCCAGAGAAAAGTTTTAGAGGAAATTATGGCCCGACAGCACGGATCATGGCATCCCGAGGGAAGAGTCCTCCGAGAGCGGCTTTATGCCATCCCGGCGGCTTAACGTCGTTTCTATGACGTTTTGCACAGGTACAAGGGTCTACAATAGATTTGTCTATCTGAGCTTGATCGGCATGGTCCTCGGACTGATTAGCGGGGATAGCCAGTAGTAAAAGTGGTGCGTGTGTTGAAAGGGGCTTTTTCTGATGCCTGTTTCCCTCGAGGCTAACGCGCGATCCCGTGCAATTGGAGCAAGAAACGTTGTATACGATAGTGTTATCAAACCGCGCTTGCGTCATTGGGAAAAGAGAATCATTCGCATATTCAATGTTACAAAATTGACCTCGAGGCACGAGGTAGAGGAGGTTATTATACTTATGAATTTTAATCTGTCTCTCAGGGACGGTGGATGCCTTCACGGACGACAGACAAGCAATCCCTCCTGATAAAGCCCGGTAACAAACAAGATGCCGGTCCGAGAGTCCCTTAGTCCTGTGGTGCTTCCGGCAAACTTCGTCCCATCACCTTGATATATCGTCTCGATCTTGTGACTCGCAGCCGCACTCACCCGTCGTGAGGCAGGATAGGGAGCATTCGTATCAAATGCTGAGACCCTCGTTGCAGAATCTCCATCCCTACGAGGGGATAGGGAGGCGATCCAGCTTGGTGCGATCGCGTCTGTCTTATTTGCTGCGATGGCGGTAAGAGCTGGGAAGAACGGATGCCCTGCGACAAGAAGAGTACCATCGTCTTCGTAATGGATGTTGTCAGGCGCGAAGGGAACTGGTACACGAGCTGATTGCGTAAGGGACTCGGAACCGTCTGCATTCTGCGTTCTATTAAAGAAGTAGACCCATGCATACGAAGACGAGGCGACCGCAAGTGTCTTGCCATCCGGCGAAAGTGCAACACCATTTGGGAAGGGTGTACCGAGTCTAGCAATGGTGTGCTTGATGGCTGGGGCGCCATCAGCTCCGTACCCCGAGATCGAAACATGAGAGACGAAAGCCAGCGGGAGGCCGAGGAACGTTTCAAGCAGGGGCAGTGCTTCTCCCAGTACGGAGGGAAGACGACGCGTCATGAGATGGTCGTTAGTGACAAAGAATGATGTTGGAGATGTGAGAGCCAATGCGTTGGGAGAGACGAAGTAAGGAGAGGACAGTGTTCGCACGTATTGTGCTATCGCAATATCCTTCGGGTCAAGAACGAATTGCTCAATAGTAGTGCTGTGACGGCCATGATTCACGACAAACATATTTGAGGGTGAACCGGACTTAGAAGGCCAAACCTGCACTCCAAGTGGATGAAAGTCATGGTCACTCGGGTAATCCTGAAATTTGAGTTCATGTACTGTCTCTTTCTTTTCGTCGAATTCGACAAGAAAAAGTGCTCCGTGGGGGTCAGCATCTTTCAGAGGCCCCATGACGGTGTTCCAGTTCTTCCTGTTAGGATCGCAGCTTGCAATGACTTTGCGGTCCACTAGGTGTCCTGCTGCATCTGTGAAATCCCAGAATGTTCCGTCCTCGCAGGATGCAAGGCGATTATCGCTTGAGTTTAGTATAGTGCAATGACTCGATGCATCTTTGCCTGCGAAATATTCGACCGGTAGTTCCGGGCGTATGAACGCGAAATATATTTTTGACACGCGCCATGCAAGGGCAGCCTATTTATATTTTATGCATGCTCAAGACACCAACTAAAACTCGAACTTACGACAATTCCTGCGAGAAACACATATTTCCTCATCGTTCCCTTTCGTCGACGTGGAGGTTGGAGGATGAAAGTATTTTTCTAAATACCCCCAACGGCCAGATCAAACCCAGTGAGTGATGATGAACAACACTGTGGGAACTGATGGACGCGTCAGTCACGTTTTCTGATCGGCGCGACTCGAGCGCGTTACTGGGCCCTGGCACTTGCTTGCAACGTTTAGCAGCGACTGCCACTATACTTCGCTGTGCAAGTGGCTTTCTGTCGATAAAGCATAATGGCGACTCCTCCAAGACCATCGTACTATATTCCTCCAATACCGAGTCTCCCGTCGCCATCAGGCTCTCGAAAACGTGGCTCATTCAGCTCCTCTTTCTCCTTCGATCCTTCACACCTCGTCCACTCCTATATGGACGCGAATGCTCAACAGAATAGGTTTCGTGGAAATCTGGCACTCGATCCCAATCGTTCGACATTGTCTGCTTCTCCACTCCGCTCATCTCCGAGGAAACCTCGTAAAGGGAAAGAAACTGCCGCTGGAGAAGTACATCCATTAGCCCAGAATACGACGGCAGACGTATTTCTCGAGACAGATGCAGAGGAGGAGGAAGCGTATGACAATCGTGCTGGCTGGACCATTGTCGACCGAATGCGTCTCTGGAGACATGATGCGATCTGGCAACATCTGTATGAAACAGCGGCATTCTGGGGTGACAAAGTATTGAGCTGGACGAGTAAGTGTATTCGTGTATCTCATAGTCCCTCGTCCTAATGAATTCTTCATTTTAATTTTTTACTTATTTTTAGATGATAAAAATGATGCATTTTGGCTTGCTCAAATATATTTTTCGATGCACCAATATTCACGAGCTGAACGACTGCTACTCCGGCCGTTCACCGAAAATGACGGCGATGCTCCAATGGCAAATGGGCATTCATACCCTGACATGCTTAACTCTATGAATATCCTTGACAGAGGGATGAGCCTTGATAAGAAAGGAAAAGGAAAGGACATTGGTGGACCTCCTCTCCCACGTCGACCTCAGCCACCAGAACTCGTGATTCCTGGTATTGATATCGTGCCTCCGTTCCGTCATCCATCTGGAATTGGAGCACCTGATTTAGCCTCAGAAAGGACTGACGGTGCATACACCCTTGTGGACTTGAGTGTTGCTTGTAGATATCTTGCTGCACAATGCCAGATTCGTCAAGGTAAATGGGCCGAAGCGACCGAGATGCTCGGTGAGGCGAATCCTTTTCGAGGAACGGACGGGGTTGGCCCTCAAATTGCTAATACTGATGGTGGTATGAAGGTAATGTATATCAATTTTCACCTTATTCCTGTAGCTAATTGTAACAGATCGAAGCATCGATGTGTTGTCTACGTGGTATGCTCAAGCTGAAGCTTAATCGTGGAGAATCCGCAAAAGAATGCTTCATGGAGGCTCTGGCTCTCGACGTGAAGTGTTATGAAGCATTTGACCAACTCATAAGCGGAGAGATGATGACCGCGGATGAAGGTAACCCAACGTCTTTTCGCGTCACTATATGCGCTGAATCTCCGTTCAGAATGGGAATTTGTCCATGGTTTGGCGTACAAGCAGCAAATACCGGAAGATGCTGAGTTCATACGCCTCATATACACCTCACGACTGCGGAAGTACAAACACGCCGAAGAACATTCTTTGACACGACAAAAACTGGTAGAAGAGTACGGCCTCCAAGATAATGTCGATGTCCTGTATAGCTTCGCCGACGCTGCATACGCACAGTTTAAATGGGCTGACTGCTTCACCATTACACAACGTATCCTCTCATTGGTGAATGTACACGAACATACTATGCCACTGCATATCGCGTGCATGCATCATCTTCCGCATTTACATTCTAAACTCTTCATTCTCGCACATGAGCTAGTAGAAAAGGAGCCTGAAGCGGCTATGAGTTGGTACGCAGTTGGCGTTTGGTACCTTACGTCAAAGAAATGGGCCGAGGCGCGAACGTATTTCAGTAAGACATCGTTGATGGACCCACGATTCGCCCCTGCATGGATAGCATTTGGACATACCTTCGCGTTCGAGGGAGAACATGATCATGCCGTGACTGCATATTCGACATGTGCTCGCCTTTTTACTGGGTATGATATCTTATCATGACGGAGATATATACTGAATTAAACCATTGTAGGTCTCATCTTCCTCTTATGTTTGTCGGGATGGAACATATCATGCTATCTAACTATGACATGGCGGACGAAGCCCTGAATGCAGCGGATAAAATGTGCAATGGAGATCCATTGTTATACAACGAACGAGGTGTGATGGCCTTCAATCGCGGCAAGTACGTCTTCGTCACTTTGTCGCCTCTGTCTATATCAAGCTGATCAGACACCCTTCAGTTATGAAACAGCCGTCTCGCTCTTCCAAAGAGCACTTGAGATCTCTGATGTTTCACAGGGTTCTCACAGTACATGGGAGACGACATACGTGAACCTCGGGTCAGCATATTGCAAGCTTGGACGATACCAAGAAGCATGCGAGTCGTATCGGAAAGTGCTTGAAACTGATCCAAGGCATGCTGTCGCACTCGCGTTTGTGGGTAAGACCTATATGCTTATGGGAAGACTGGACGATGCTGTTCAAAAGTTCCATGAAGTATGTCATTTTTAAAATATCATACCCTCTATGTGCTACTCAACTGCTCTTCGATAGTCATTAAGCGTCGACCCTGTCAATGGACACGTTGTCGAACTCCTCAACCTCGCTTTGGATGCAAGCCTGGAAAGCGGGCCTGAGCCATATGAAATGATTCTCTTACTGAGCGTAGGAGAGTACGCAAAGTCGACGGAGATGATAAAACATATCAAGAAGGTAAAGGTGAAAAATCCGAATCCTTCGTGGAAAGATCCAGATCCGCCAGAGGATCAGGACGGAATGAATATTGGGTAATATGTATGGTATTCACATGTACACGTAAGTAAGAGATGGAGAGGTTTCCGTGTCACGCGTAGGTTCTGGGAATTCTTGAGAGTTGAGGTGTACGATTTTCCGGAGTTATCATCACCTTCAACAATTATTCTCTTTATCCAGAGTATCCAATACGCACTAGAACCACTCTCCTGTGTTATGCAACCTCACAAATAGTAACACCCAACGCCGACATGTTCACATTCTTTGATTGTGGCAGTATTGCTTAATGTTGTCTTGCGAGTACATGAGTGACCACTAAATATAGAGTCAGGACATATGTATATACCAAGTCCTACAGGAACAGTGTATACAATTTATGCCGGACATCCTGCTGATATAATCATTTCATACAGCTTAATTTACGTGTTTTATACATGTCCTTCCTTACTGTCACAAGTTGTGTCTGAATTTGCAATGATTCGCCGGGGGTAAGTGCAATGTGCCTCTGTATCTTTTAATAAACCCAATCAACCATTCGGTTTAGTATTAGTTCGCTATCTTTCCAATATTGGAGTAATATCTTGACCTGAATACATTTATCTGAGACTTGTGCCTTATCATCCGATTGATTTGACCCAGCCAACTCATCGGACTCTTGGATAGTTCGCCAATAAGGCCTACAGTTTCCATTTTTACACTTTGTGCCTCCTTGAAGACCTTCTGATCAATCCAACAATCTTCTTGCTGGACTGGGTCTTCTAAGTCTAGCTTGCTCATCTCTGTTTCAAGTGCATCCAGAATTCGTTCTTGCCTACTGACCTTGTTCTTACTCTTCCTGAAGTGATGATGAAGGCTACAGATTTTGAAAACGCATCGAGAACTGCTTCCTTCTGAATGACTAGAGTCCATATCTTCTATTACTCAGAGGTTTGCTTGTTCTTGTTAGTATAGGCTGTTACTGCCATGCACAATTGTGGCTTACATACTGCTTATAGGCTCACATACTGTAGACACATAAAGAGAGGTAACTGTAACATGTACCCAGGGACTGTTATGTTACTTAAGTAGAGTTACAAGTGTGTAACACTTGTAGTGTTGCCTATACCAAATACAAATGTAACTTTATAAATTTTCAATACAAATTTGTTAATATACAGTACATGATTCATTTAATAAAACACCTTAAGACTCTACTATAGTATCAGACCAATGAATGCTATCAGTAGTGTAATTCCAAATATACTCTTCCTTTACAGATGAAGTAAGTCCTGGATAATTAGGATTGTCTAAAGAGTTAATAAAGTCCTAGCTTGTACAGAAGTTAGTTCTGAGTTGTTCTGCAGAGGCCAAATCCACCCTAAATGTCTCCTTAATTACTGAACAAACAGAAACCACTGAATTGTCATTACAAGAATCATTAATCACTTCTTCAACAATACTGTTTGTTACTTTAAAATTAGTAAAGTCTGGTATAAACTGTTCTGTTTAGTAAGCAATTTCATTTCAAAGAGTTTTGTCTTTTGCTAGGTAGTTCCTGAGTGCTGCCCAAGTCTTAAGGTCTGTGAGTGTACTATAAGAGAGGTCCCAGTTTTTTACAGTACATTTTCTCTAAGTCTGTAAATATATTAGATTAAGTCTAGACAAAATTCTTTCAAAATTTCTTACCATTTTGACTAGCTGTTGTCCTTCAGTACCTATTATGGACTTTTAGAGACTCAAAAGAGCCTGTACAGAAGAGTCACACAGGACAGTAATAGAATTAGAGAATTCTATTTTACTAAGTAGTACTCTCTTTACAAGCTGTTCTTTATAAGAGTGTATTATACCTATAAGAGTATAATGCTTCAGGTGGTACTTTATTACTCTCTGTAGCCCTATATCTGCTGGTTGGAAAATACTAGTACCTAAAGATAACTAAGTCAGTAGTGAAAAGATTAAGAAGTATAACACATTAGTATTTCTTACAGTTTGTTAGTACAAGTATTAGAAGCACATATGAGTACTTGCTACAAAGGTAAGCTAGGAAGTTGGTACTGGAATGTACAGGATAATAGTCTAGGTAGAGTACTGAGTACTAGTCCTAAGGAAGTGTAGGGTTATTACTAAGGACTTTTTAGTAATATAGCTTATATATATACTCTATGTATTACAAATGATTATATATTAGAAAAATAGAAGTACAAAAGAAATAGTACTCACTTCTTTCATTATCTTAAGTGTACTGTAGTAAGACTCTTGTTTCTTTTCTGTAGTAGTAAAGGTAAAGTCAAAACCCAAAGTACAAGCCTTCTACATTCTAGTAACACTTTTACTTAGAGTACTTTGTTCTGTTCTTCTACTACAAACTTGCTGAAATGGTAGAAGCATTCTATCTACTACACTTAAGACACAGAGTGTCTATCCTTACTTTTCATCCTTTATAGTAATCTTAACTTATTTAGTTCCTCTTGTTTTATATATGTATTTGTATTCTAGAATGTATAAGACACTTGTCTTGTCTATATTTACAATAAGCTTGAATAAATGTAAAGATCTATAAGAAGGTATTCAATATAACAGAAGTATTGAGTACTTACTGAGTCTAGAATGTCAAACTTCTTAATAACATTTACTAAGTAGAAAAATGATTATTTACAAACTTCTTTCTAGTTTGTAAGAATATGACTTACAGATATTGTTACTTGTCTGAAAGATATACTTATAACTAATGTAAAGAAGTTATAGACATAGGTCTGTATAAAATAATATAAGCTTGTATGAAAAGAAACAGTGTCTGTTAGAAGATAATTCAACTTACCTTACTATACTTGAATTTACTATTAAGTATTTTAGGATTTCTGTTCTTAATAACAGATAAGAGGATTGAGTAGCTAATTACTGAGTTTAATATAAGACCTTTACTTTGAAGGGAAGTAAGAGTATTCTTTACTTTCTCAACTATCTCTAGATATTAAGAAAGTACTCTTACATAATTAGATTCTATAATAGTATACTTGTGTATTACATTATTCAAAACTGTATTAGTCTAGCCTTTACTATCTAGTCTGATCCATTGTAAGACAACCCCTTTCTTCAACCCTTTATACAGTGTAGGATTGATCTTGTTTAAGAATTTAATTATTTTTGAAGGAGAGAAATGTACATTTAGTATAATATTATTAATTCTTACTTAAAGAAAGGGCTAGAACTAATTAGTATGTATAAATATACCTTTAACCCTTCTTTCAAGCTTTCTAGTATACTTTGCCTTCCAGCTACTAGAAACCTCCTAGAAAGCTTGAGTAACAGTTGATTCACATGTAAGTTTTAAGCTAGAGTAAGAGGGAACAAGTTTTATCTGTAAATAAATAAATAGTTAATAAATAAATAGTATATAGTTAAGTTTAATACAACTTACTACTTTCTTGTTCTTCTTGTCTGCTACTTCCTTCTTCTGTTTCTTCTTCTACTAATGCTTTACAACTCTAGTAGCTGTCTGTACTTGTTTCTTCTTAAGCTTTACAAGTCTTTCTTTTTTAATACACTCTTTCCTTACTTTAGAGTTTGTCTAATATTCTTTAGCCTCCCTTCATACCTGTTCCTCAGCTTCCTCTCTTGTTACTACACAAAAGTTAAGCTTTGTTTACTTGAGATTTGTATGTTTGACTTGTATTTTACTTACTTTAGACAATATAGAAGACAAGAATTATACAAGTTATAAAGAGACAGATGATTTAACAGGTCTATAAGACAAAGATTCAGAATTGTCAGGCTTAGGATTAACATTTTGATTGTCTGTCTTTGTCAAATTAATACAAAACTTCTTGATAGACAATCCTTCAAGTGGTTCTCTCAATTGCTTGACTTTTAGTAGTCTATTCTTATATATATTCTAGTTAATATAAAATATAATATAAATTGTAGATCCTCTTAGTAGAGTATAGTATTTTAATAATAAAGAAATACTATCTTCCAAGTATTAAGAGGCTTTTACTTGTAACTAGTAAAGAAATTACAAGTACATTTGTAAATATACTTACTTTAAAGGATAAAACCCTTCTACCTCTTAAGCTATCTTAATAATATGATTCACTCAGTTGAGAATTAGTACCTCTTACTTAGGCTCAGATTTTACAACATTCTTGAAGATAGAAATTAAGTTTAGAAACTGAGACAAACAGCTTGTAATTGAAATTTTAGCTTCTTTATGTGTAAAAGTATGTAAGTACACTTTAAGATTACAATTGAATACAAACCACTTCCCCTCTTCCTTTACATCCTCTGAGTTGAGTCTAAACTGATACTAACATTTAGTAGGATCAAGTAGTAGAGTTGAAAGTAAATTCTTGAGAACTGTATTAAGAAAGTTAATGTGTTAATAAAGTAAAGCTGAATAGAGTACAGAGAGTAAGACTTGTAGACTTGTAGAGTGAGAGGGTAGAGGAGTCCTACTTTAGTTAAGCTACAAGTATAACTTAGTAGGTTGAGAGTAGAGTGCTTCCAAGTACTAAGTAACTTAAGTTAATAAAACTACTTTTGAGAGCTAAACTAGCCTCTTTATATACTTTTTACTAGAGTAATATTACTCTAGTAACTTTAGTAACTCTCTTTACTATTGTTCCTATAAAGTAGAGCTAGCTAATCCATTAAGTATTATTCTATACTAGTTTGTGTCTTTTTATATTCTAGATTAATCTTCTAATACTAGTTTGTGTCTTCTTATATTCTAGATTAATCTTTTAATAACTCTTTACTATATTATTATGTTTTTCATACTTTCTCTCAAGCTTCTAATAACTCCTTATGAGTCCTTCTAACTAGTTATGCTTTCTAAGCTGTGTAATACTTTTCCTATAGTATAGAGCTTTGTATTGTTCTGTAGTCTTCTCTTAACTTAACCTGTACTTCCTGTACACTAGTTTGTAATACACTTTCTTATAAGGTAGAGTATTTGTTACAATCCTCTACTCTTGTACCTTCAGTTCTACAGGTTCTACACTAGAACTCAGAACTTCTGTCCCTTAGGAGTACTGTCTATAAACTATATACAGACTGACTCTCCTTATAACTCTTACTACTACCCCTCTTTCTTTATTATTCTGTTTCTTTAACTACCTCTTTATTCTTTATTCATTCTATAGTCTCTTACCCTTTGTCTATCCCTTCATTCTTTGTACATTTATCTTTGACCTTCCCTTCCTTCATTTCTTTATGACTCATTATTCTTAGTAGCTTACTATTCTCTGAGTACTCTTGTGTAATTTAGTATATATAAGTATACAAGATCAGACTGGTTCTATAGTCTTAATCTTGTCTACTCTAGATAGTCCTGTACTCTTAAGCTTACTCTATATACCTTACACTTGTCTCACTCTCTCCCTCTGTCTGTTCTGTGAGTTCCAACTATGTTCTAGTGTTTGTGTTCTGTATTTCTGTTGTGTAAGATAGTTGTAGTCTAAGTCCTCTTACTAAGCCTTTAAGTCCCCTCTACACTGTTACTAACATTAGATTAAGACTACTTATAACTACTCTATAACTCTTCTATGTTTCAGGTATTAGTATGTACTGTTGTGTTAATCTCTTTTCTTTGTCTCAACCCTTTTACATTTTTAAATTTTAAACTTTCTAAACCCTTTTAAACTTTTACCACTCTTCTTCTATTTATTACCCCTTTTAGTTTAGTGTTAATTCCTTTATAGTGTAAACATGAACCCTCTCAAGCTGACTACTACCCTTACTGTTCTACTAAATCAGTAGTTATAAGTAGACCTAGCTTAATATGTACAGACCTTTATTTAAGAGGCCTTTACTAACTATGTACCTCTAGTCTCTTTAGAACCTGTTCTAGTTGTTCTAGAAGTTACAACCTGTTCTAGAAAGAAAGTGTATGTAGTCTACTCTTTAGACTTTAATAAGTAGTACTTTAAGGACTTCTAGTACTAAGTTAAACTATATGTAGCTACTACTTTAACCAATCTATTCTTAGATCTCAATTGTGTCCTATTCATCCTCTCCTTCATAAAGGAAGGTAATACAGTCACTTAGGCCTAGAACTAGATTGAAGGATATTAGATTAGAAGCCTAATCTAACTTTAGAACAATAAGTTGTATTCAGATTTTATAAGGTAGCTCTGTACTTCCTTTATTAATCTGAACAAGAAGTGTAATGTGTAAAACAAGCTTGTATCTTTATAACAGAGTAAACATTCTACTAATGCCTTCTTTCAGGAGTTTGATATTCTGGCCTAGAAGGTAGGATTTGTACTCAGATTCAATAATGTCCTTATTAGAATACTTAAGAAAGCTCTTTACTTAGAACTAGTTAATAAGATTCTTAGAATAATGCTAGAACTGATTACTTATACTAACTAGAAGACCTGCACTATTTCCTTTAACTAAGCTGTAGCTCAAATGTGTTAAGTCTGTATAGAACACTTACACATGTGTCTGACTCTAACAGTTTTAACCTCTCAGATTAATCTGTCTGTAATTTGTAATTAATCTGTTCTGATAAACATTAGAGAAGTCTGAAAGTAAGGAGTATACTTTGTTTACAGAAAGTTAGAGTACTAAATTAAGGACTGTCTGTAGAAGTAACAGTATATCTGTCAGATTATTAGAGTAATAATGAGTAACAAGTAGGATTTGTAGTAAGAAGCCTTTTCTACAAATTTAGAAGTTACTTTAGAACTCCTAAACTCTAACTATATACTCTAGGATTTTGTAGAGGCCTAACAGTAAATATAGTACTAAAGAGTTATGACTTGGATTTTTTAACAGTCACTTTTGATTTAATAGACACTGTAGAATTAGAAGTAAATAAAATAGAAAAAGTAGATTAAGTAGAAAAAGTAGAAAAAGCAAATTAAGAAAATTATTTATTAAAAACAAAAAAGTAAAAAACAAAAGTAGATAGTTCTCTTATTTCTTCTGATTCTTTTGATTCTTCTCTTTACACTTTATTTGAGTCTAAATCTGTACAATCTGACCTACTACCTTTGTGTTCTAAAAACTCAGAATGTTCAGAACATTACTTAACCCTATTTACTACTTAGTAGTTTGTCTATAGTATTAAGTAGGAATAGTCTTAACTGAGTTTATAGTTAAGGACATAAGTCTGTCCTTGTTGAAAGAGAGAGGTTAATAAGGAAATGTTAGTACATATACTTACTCTCTCAGACAATAAGACTGTACAAGCTGTACATTCCCTTTAGAATAAGTAGTAATTTATTAGAGGACATTCTAAATACTAGCTCTAAGTCCCTATCCTCTTGACTCCCTTCTTAGGATCCCTCTAGATCTGAGTAATAACTCTAGTAGATAGTAAATATACTAGTTTGTGTATTAATAAGGCCTTTGTGTAAGAATACTACCTCTCTACTTAACATGTTCTACTTCTGATTCTAGTATACAATGTA